GAGAACTATTGCAATAAATTTGGATTTTTAACAAGATTTTGATACCATTAGTTTCTATTTTAATTATTTTGATAAGATCGGATTCATAAATCCTTTTCGATCTTGATTGATGCTTTCCTAGTGGATTCAGCATGCGGCTAGGGGAAATGGCTCGGAAAGGGTTTTTATTGTTGCTAAATAGCTTTTATTGTAGCTTTCAAATGGTTCTCAATGCGTTCGTCATACAGCCTTTTGCAGTAAATCAATCTTGAAGAGCTTCGAGAATACACCCTTCAGAACCTTCTCCAGGGTGGGCCAACTAGACATATTCTAGTCTTAATGAGGTTTTGGTGGATGTATTAATGGCAAAATAGACCAGGGTTTTATGAATGTTGTTTTATAGTTGCTTTGTAGTATTTCATAAAACTTAAAATGTTACTTGGGTAAAACCATGGTCAAGGCTATTTTGCCATTAATACATCCACCAAAACCTCATTAAGACTAGTTGGCCCCCCTGGAGAAGGTTCTGAAGGGTGTATTCTCGAAGCTCTTCAAGATTGTTTTATGAATTCGAGGGCCACGCTCACTTTACTCTTCCTCGCCAGATGGTCAGTCGTTGATGGTGTGGCGGTTCTTCGAAAAAAGTAAATTTTGCCAAAATCGACTTGAATTTTTCATCTTACTTCGTCTTTCCTTCGAGATTTCCTTGTCATAAATTTGGCATTTATTAACTATGAAGAACCATATCTTAAGCGTTAATGATGCACTTTAAAAAGCCTTAAAGGCAAAAATAAATGCTTTTTGCTCTAATGCAAAACCTAATGGTTTTATGGTTGCTATGGTTATGATAGAAAACGCTTATAAAGTATTTTATCAAGACATTAATAAACAATTGATAATGACGTTTATGCTTGAATTACAAAACAGTTTTAAGGAGGGATTGATAACTGTTTTAAATTTATTTTTAAAACAAGATAAATTTTGACTTTAATCGGTATTCTGAGGAACCTCATCTGTATATCGGTATCTAGTTAGGAAATCGGTATGTCTGGCAACGCTGCTACTTACTACGAACAAAACCCTGCGCACTCCTCAGCAGATGTGACGGCAGACTACGAGAGCATGTAGCGACAGCGTTGCCAGATATACCGATTTATCGGTATTTATACCGATTTCCGAACTAGATACCGATATACAGATAAGGTTCCTCAGAATACCGATTTTTGAGATTTAATACCGATTTATACCGATTTTTACCGATTTTTTTTTTAAATAATCAAAATGATTTTTGCCTGCCCGCGCTTAGAATTTCGGAGAAAATTATTGTAAGAGACTTGTATCTTTTTGAATACATCAAATTTTTTGAGCCTTTAAAATTCTAAAAAATAAATGTCTTATGGATACTCTGGTGATTGATGTTTCAATTTCCTCACCGTTTTTGGCTACCCATGAATCGATAAACAGTCGATGGCTCTTTCTGGTAATTCCGGGGGAATCAGGAAACACTTTTTAAACATTATTTAAGTTCCTGGATTTTCTTTCAACTTACATCGTTGATTATTTTACGATTCCTCTCAGAAACTTATTTCGACTTCCCTTGGAAGCTTCTTCACCCTTCGTTCGAATGATTCTTCCATCTTATCCCGCCAGTTTTTTCAGCTTTCCCGGAATTTCAGGAATACTTCCAGATTTTGATTGCGGATCCATACTACCTGCAGGAACTTTTAAGAAGTTCTGAAACATCAGAAAAGTTCAGACTTTTGAGTAAGTTTCGATTAATTAAAGAATGTTTCAATAACTTCTGTTAAAAATTCTAAACTCCGGAAATTTCAGGAAAGTCCAGTGAACTTCAGTGAACTTAAGGAAACATCATAAATATTTTGGATACTTCACATGTTCAAAAACTTCTGGAAAATTTAATGGTTTTCAGGACAGTTTAGTTTCAGGGGAATTGAGCGAACTTTAGGAAGCTCTGAGAGCATCAGGACAGATCAATAAATTTCAAGGAAATTTCGCTGAAATTTTAAAGGAGTTCCGAGAAACTCAGGCAATTCCCGAAAACTTCAGCAATGTTCCAAGGGGCTCATGCAAATTTAAGAAACGTAAGGGAAGCTACATGAACATTAGCACATTTTGAGAACACTTTATGGAAAGTTCCGTGCTTATTAATGGCAGTGTCGATAATTTTTAAAATTAAGAAAAATCAAGAAGATCAGAAAACTTCAATGCTGATGTTTCAATAAATAAAAAAAAAGTTAAAGAGTGATTAAGAGATTTCGTAATCTTCAAGAAAGTCTAGAGACCTTCAAAGTTGACTCGAGATATTCCGGTAGTCTCATTATATTCAGGAAAGTTCAAAGTATTTCAAAGATGATCAGACTACTCCCAAACAGCCCTGTTAACTTAAGGAAAATTTCATGAACTTTTAAGGAATTCCGAGGAATATTCCTTCCAATGTTCCAAAAACGTCAGGGGCATTGCGGGGTCTTCAGAGATGTTTTATGACCATTTAGAAAATTTTCTGGATTATTAGAACATCCCCCAAGAGCTCTTTCTTCCGGAATTATGTCCTTGTTTCTTTCGAGTGTTCCGTTAGCGCTCTGGTTTCCGACTTGTTAAAGATTGTTTTCCAGTCTACCTCAGGAGGTTTCTGCCAGCGTATCCAGGAAGTTTCTTCCGTCTTCTCCAGAAAGTTCAATTAAACTTCTCCCAGAAATTTCTTTCATCTAGTTCTGGAATTTTGTCCAGTTTTTTTTTTTTTGACTTCTACTGGAAGGTTTTTTCTAGCTTCTTCTGGCTTCGCTTGGAAATGGCTACTTCTGGAATTTACTTCCAATTTCCGATTTCTGTCTTTCTTTAAATGTGAAATCCGATTTTTTTTCTGAAAGTTTCTTAAAATTTTCGCCAGAAGTTTCTCAATTTATGCCTTGGAAGTTCCGCGGATGTTTTCCGATTTCTCTCAAAACTTTCTTCAAATTTCCTCCAGAAGAGCTTCTTTCTTCTTTCTCTGGATGTTGTTTTCAGCTTCCTCCAGAAACTAATTCAAACATTCTCCTGAGTTTTCTTCCGGAATTTTCCGGCCATAGTCCAAAAGTTAAAATTTTCGCTTTCAAAAACGGCAAAAATATAAAATTAATTAAATTAGTAAATACCGATAAATACCGATTTTTTAAAACCTTTGATACCGATAAGCTTTAAAACATTCTGGCAACGCTGTGTAGCGATCGTCTCTCGTCCTCTTCCTCATCGTACCGTCATTGCGAGTGGACGCTTGGGTAAGTGCAAAACCTGCAATCGGCTTCCTCAAACAATGACAGAACAACATCAAATTTAGTCGAAACCGTTCTACTCTATACAAAAAAAAACTCATCTCCAACCCTAGGCGGGTAATATCACAAGTGGGCAGCAGCTCACGGTCTCCCAGTGTTGGTGAGTTCTTAATCAATATTTAATGTGAATTTCGCTAATAAGCACGAGGAGCATTTCTTATAGCAAAACTTGCCATAACAAAATGGCCATAGTTCATTTTAGTAAACAAACTAACACTTCTTCCTACTGTGTCACCTTTGTATTACCCGCTTAGTCTCCTTCCGATCATGTCTGCCTGTACTCCTCTCGCTACTCAGCATAGGCGTATCCAGATCCAGAGGGAGCAGCAACTCAGCAACACAAAGGCTTTCGGTGAAATGGCATTCGGCCAAGTTTTCCATAGAACATTTTTTATAGCCTCTCCCTAGCTCGAAACCTGGCTGCGCCCTTGCTACTCAGTATCAGTCAAAGATAAACAACCACAACTCTATAAGCACAACGTCACAAATCCAGACGCGAGTTTTTCAGTTCAATGTGACTTAACTTTGCAAGAATCAAATGATACATTTGTAACAAGTCATCATTGTCATTTCAGCACCACCAACTTGGAAACATTCCGGCTGATTATGAAGACAGTAAGAACATGTTTAATTGAAACTAAAATAACTTAAGGTTCACCAAATATTAAACCCTTTTTCAATACCTCCAAAGGCTAAATTTCGTCTTAGACATTATGAATTTGACTGCCATTAACCGACAAATTCCCATCGACGTAGCTTTAGCAGCCCATAATTAAAACCAACCAAATGTTCGGTATCGTCTCCCTGCCGGATGTTCGTAGAAATTCTGCAAAACAATGAAAGACACATCCCCTTCCGGCTTACAACATTCCGCAGGGCTCCATTATTCCATCTAAAACCGAACGGGAGATGTTGATGAAAATCGTATCCCCCACTTGTATCCGGCTCTTCTCGACATTTCCTATTCCGCAGAAAGCAACCATTCCAGCAGTGCCCAGACCCAGACCGCTTTCTTCCTGTTCGGAAAGTGACTATGGCACACATACTCGCTGCGAAAATGAAACAAACAAAAAATGGCGGTACATTACACGGTCTGAACTGAACCGCGGAGATAAAGCAATCCGACTGGCAGACCGAAAAACCCTTTGCGAGGAATTATAATGATATAAAAATATGAAAGCAACCACGCGCCATTCAGCTTGCACCACGACTCAGTGTCTCTCTGTGAGAAAGCTAGGATGGCTTGTAGAAAAGTGGCAACCACCGAACGAACGACTCTGTGCGCTTGAATTAAATATTCATTCTCTTTATTACGAGCGAATTATTTATTTGAGTTTTAATTCTTTCACCATCATGAAATATTAAGCTCACCATCGCCGCTCGCCAGGAGTGGAATTCTGGAATGAATAGGGGGGTGTTGGATTTCCACGGAAAACAGTACTGGCTCTAGCGGTTATATGTATATTATGAAAGCTTTGTGAGCTGATCTTAATGAAATTTAATATTGTGAAAGGAATTCCAATGAACGTAAGCACTGTTGAGAAACGTCTGTATTTTGTTGAAGATAACATTTGTAACATTAAAAAAGAAACCCCCAATGCAATGTTTGCACTGGGAAAATGATGAATAAAATGGAAACCTTTTCTACGATCACCACGTGTAGCTAATTATTCATCTCTTCATCCGTTTCAGATTTTCCGCTACATCGAACACACCGGGTCTCAGCATGAACAGGAAATCGCCTCGGACATCATCCTGCGCGTGGTCGATGTCATAATGCAGAATAAATTATCGCTGAATAATCAACAGGTGGGTCACACTTCCGATGATGACGACGACGGGCTGGTCAAAGGTAGCTTATTTCTATTTTCGGTGGTTTTGTCTTTTCGGAATGCTAACCTGCACGCGAATGGTAAATGAGAATTCTCTGCGGGTGTACCCATTCATTCGTCGTCGGTTGACTTTTTCATTTAAGTGTTAATGAGGTAATCCGACTAATTAGAGGGGATTTTTAGGACATTGTGTTTACATTAGCATTCCCCGGAGGTGGTTGCTGTTGCGTGAACTCTGAGATGTAAATAAGTTGATTGATGATGAAATGATAACAATCTACCTGTAGACACATTTGATTTTCCACGTGGTGGCATAATCAGCAAAGGCGTTAAGACAACGTTGGAGCTTGTTTTATATTTCGCCAGGCATTCTTCTTTTGACGGTTATTGCAGTATTCTCTGTGAAAAGTCTCCGAGGGGAGGAATGTCGGAAGTGCGGAACACCTACTGGAATGGAAAACGTGTCAGAAAGGCAACTTATCAACGATACCCTGTAAGTCCTTGGCTAAAGTTAGTTACTGGTGATTTTAACAATATGCAAAGGAAAGTTGAAGTTTCAAAGCTTGTATGCCAGACATTGTCAATCACTTTCTCAACGTCTAACAATGTCATGGCTGTGGACTTGGATACAGCCTTGTTACTTCGGATGCTATTCATCACCCGTACTAGCTGATGATTTGTCGAGAACCCCTTCCTGAACCCGAACTGTTCCGGTAGGAGAATGTTGTGCTCCTCCTCAAACTTAAGCAAACGATTGAGATTAAGTTTCTCAAACAATTTGCTCAGCACTGAAAGGAGGCTGATCGGTCTGTAGGTTGAAGCTGATGTTGAGTCGTTTCCGGATTTGCGGATAGGTATGGTTTTTGCTGTCTTCAAGATGCTTGGAAAGTAGTGCAGTTCCAAACATCTTTTGAAGACAGCGGCCAGGAGAGAGTGAAACTTCATGCTGAGGTTGTTCAAACTAGGTTGAATATTCCGTCGATCCCAGGGGCCTTCATGTTTTTGGTGCATTTCAACGCTGAGCAAATCTGTTCCACTGAGATCCTATCCTCCGGAGGGATAGCACAAGGGGAGGAATCATCGTTGAGCATGCATTGCGAAACCTGAACTTTGCGCGGACCTTGGATGTTGAAGCCCAGCAAGTGCGATTTGGCATTATGCTCACCAATCGTAATTGTTTTCTCCTGAGATGTGATTATGAGCCGATCGTCATCATATTCATCTTTGAGTGGTGGAATGGGTTTGGGGTGCGTCTTTAGAACCTTGGAACCTTCCAGAATGGTCTGGAGCGGTCGTCCAGATTCGCGACGAGCCGCCCGAAATTTTAGATCTGGAGTGAGTAAATTCTGGAAGAAATCTACCTGTTCAGATCGGCCGTTTCACGTTTTTTGCCCAGATCTCCAGTCCTCTGAAACTGGCGTCTACAATTATTTCTCAGGCGAATCAAGAGTTGGGTGTGGGTATTAATGGCAATAAACTTGCCCCTCACAGGAACTCGTCAGACGCACCCCTCGTCAGCCACGGTTATGGTTTGGTGGAGTCCCTCCAACGCTCAGTCGATGTCCTCCACGGTGTCGAGTGGTGGGTTGTCGATTATGTGCCTGTCTACCACGCGTCCAAACTGGGCCCTGTTTACGCGGTGATAGTTCTTGTGCAGCCTTGTAACAGGGGCCACGTTACAGCCCAGTTTAACCACCACCGGTTGGTGGTCGGAGCTAAGTTCGTTCATGGCTACCAGCTTGGACAAGCCAGTATTTTTCAGGAACACGTCTAGCGTCGATGGGTTGCCCGCCGGTGAGATGAATGTTGGCTCATTGGAAAACCAAACGGAGTACAGTCCATTCTGCGAGTGGTCGAACAGCAGACGACCGTTCTGGTTCTGCTGGTAGTTCAGCCAGGCCTCATGGCGAGCTTTAGATATCCTCCTACTACGAAGCGGGAACCGTTACCGGTGCTGGTGGACAGGTCCTTCTTGAATTTAGCCGCTAGTCCTGGCAGCACAGTGTCGAGGGCAGTAGCCGGCGATGAACTGAACGTATCCAGTCGTCGACTTCACCTCCACACCAAGGACCTCGATGATAGAGGTGCGGATATGGGACAGAGTGTGCTATTTTATTCCTTTCTTGACGACGAACGCAACACCACCCCCCCCCCCCCCCCCCTGGAGCTGGTGCGATAAAGCCGGATAATGTTGTGGTCAGGCAACCAAAAGCTGTCACCGGACTTTAGATGGGTCTCGGTTAGAAGGCACACGTCGATGCTGTGCTTGCGGAGGAAGTCGGCAAGCTCAATCTTTTTTGCTCTTACAGAGCAAGCATTCCAGGTGACGATAGTTAGCGGTTTAGATGCCATACTGGATGATGAACTTACCGAGCACTTGGATCTGTTCGGGCTTATTGCGACACTTACGAAGAGCACCGGACGTGTTGACGAAAATTTCCATCAGTTCATCCGCTGAGAACAGATCGGAGTTGTTGTTTTGCGCTGTTGGTTGTCTCCAGAATCCAGGGGGGATGGAGAGCTTTGGCCAGCAGAATCACAGGAAGTTGCTTGAGCGGGATGCACCCGCGAATTCGCTTGCCTTTGCTGAGGAGCACGAAGAGGTGAGAAATCCTCCGTCCGAAATGCCGGAACTTTGTCCTTCTTGCGTCCTGGTTGGTTGTTAGTTGCCACCTGTTTTCGGATGCGTTTGAAGTCCTCGCGTTTGGAGCACTGTCTGTCGAAACCTTGATGTGCACCACCACAGTTGGCGCATTTTAACGCCACGGCTCCATGCGCAGGGCAGTTGGAAGTGGCGTGTTCTTCAACGCAGTTGCTGCAGCGTGGCTTGATGTTGCAGTTGCGGGTACCGTGTCCAAAATTGAGGCACCACTGGCACGTCACGATGGCCGCCACGGTATGGCTCCCATCGTACGATGATGGAGTAGATCGATCGGATGGCTTGCAGCGCATTGAGAGTCACCGTCCCTTTCTGGAAGTGCACCAGGAAGAGGCAATCCGGGTACGTCTTCACGTTTTCGTCTCTCCTTGTCATTCGGAATACAGCGATTGGGGCTAGCTTGTACCGGTTGATTTCAGCTTCGACCATCTTGGGGTCGAAGTTTGGTAGACCCCTGATGACTACCTTGAAGGGCTTCTCACCGGGGATGTCGTGTGTGAAGAATTCCGCCTTGGAATCCTTCAGATATTTCACGGCCACTTCGTACTTCGCCTTTGTTCGCAGCATGCCCTTGGTGCCGATCCTGCCGAGCTTAAACTCAGCTGCAACGCCCAGCGATGAAAGATCACCAATCAGCGTGTTGAGTGGTACTTGCTTCACCACCAGTGGAGGAAGCTTGATTTTCACCGCACTCGGGCCGGCAGAATTCTCGGTTTCGACGGCGTCGCCGAAATCACCGATGTCGCTGGCTTTCAGTGGTGCCATGTCGCGTCCGCTCGTACCATCGGACTGTCCTTGATTCTTCTTCCTCTTTTTCGTGCGCTTCACCGGGACTGGGTTGGTATCCCCAACATCGGTGGGAAGAGTAGCGTACCTATTTGAGGTAGGTACCGAGCTACCCTCACCACTGTTTTTCTTCTCCGCTTGGTCACGAAGTCTGCTCCGGGAGCGCTGTCTTCCCATCACGCGATGCGACCGACACTACTGACGACGCGAGGTGCAGTATATCTGCGAACGTTTGTAACAAACTATAGGTTAATCGAACAACTCGACAGAGCGAGCAAAGACCGAACTGTACTGCTTGACGTTCAAGCAGAGAATGTCAAACTGTGATCTGATGCAAAGAGTGATGATTAGTTAGTTTAAATGATCTTTATTTCAGTTTAACTTGGACGATTACCATATAAATTTTTTTTTTTTACTAAGTGATTTAATTGCTTTCTTCATCTTTAGGTATGGGCAAAATTCAAAATTTGTTTTACAGAATTAGTCCTAGACTTAGTACACGGTCGACCACCTTGGTGGGATTGGTTTGTTTTGTTTTTAGAATTTGAAGAGAAACTACTTAATACTACTATTTACAGCTTAAAACTAACCTACTCTACTATATACACTTAACCTACTATGTACAAATTGCTTATTAAAGCATGTTCAGAAAGATTGCATTTTTGAATAAATTTGGTTGTCATATCATCAATTTTGGAATCTACTTTGGGAATTTCTGCCTCTTGATGGAGGTCTGCTATTCTTGTGTCGAATGGACGATCTAGGATCATCCTCAACACTCTATTCTGTGCAACCTGGATTTTGTTCCTGTGGGTCTGAGCGCACGATTCCCACACCGGGGCGGCATAGAAGATCGCGGGGGCTATGATCTGTTTGTAAACAGCCAGTTTGTTTTGCCTTGAGAGGCGGGATCTGCGGCAAATGAGCGGATACAAACACCTAACCAAGGCGGAGCACTTAACTAGGGTTTTCTCTATGTGCGAGCGGAACAGGAGCTTCTCATCGAACAACATCCCGAGATAAGTAACATCAGTGGACCACTCGACCCTTGTACCATCCATTATTACGGTACAGGAGGGAGACGGTTTAAGTTTTGGTGATTGTCTGTGAAGGAACATGATCGCTTGGGTTTTCGAGGCGTTGATTTTGATTTTCCACGTGGTGGCATAATCAGTAAAGGTGTCAAGGCATCGTTGGAGCTTGTTCGTAATTTCACGAGGCATCCTACCCTTGACGGCTATCGCGGTGTCATCTGCGAACAGAAAGAACACGCAACCGTCTCCTAGAGGAGGGATGTCCGACGTGTAGATGCTGTAAAGCAGTGGTCCCAGCAGACTCCCTTGCGGAACACCTGCTGGGATCGGGAATTGTCCCGAAAGGGAACTATTCAACGACACCCTGAACGACCTTTGCTGGAGATAGTTACGGGTGATTTTCACAAGGTATGGTGGAAAGTTGGAGTTACAAAGCTTGTATATAAGTCCGTCGTGCCAGACATTGTCAAACGCCTTTTCGACGTCTAACAAGGCCATGGCTGTGGACTTGGATACAGCTTTGTTACTTCGGATGTTATTCATCACCCGCACTAGCTGATGATTGGTGGAATGCCCCTTGCGGAACCCGAACTGTTCCGGAAGAAGAATGTCATGTTCCTCCACAAACTTGTTTAGTCGGCTGAGGATCAATTTTTCGAACAGCTTGCTCAGCGCTGAGAGCAGGCTAATCGGTCTGTAGCTTGACGGTAGTGAAGGGTCTTTCCCAGGTTTGCGGATCGGGATGATTTTTGCCACCTTCCAGATGCTTGGAAAGTAGTGCAGCTCCAAGCATCTGTTGAGGATGGCAGCCAGCAGCGAGTGGACCCTCGGGCTGAGATTTTTCAACGCTAGGTTGAATATTCCGTCAAACCCGGGAGCCTTCATGTTTTTACTATATTTCAGCGCTGAGCAAATTTGTTCCTCTATAATCCGTTCTTCTGGAGGTACGGCACAAGGGGAGGTATCTAACGTCTGGACGCACTGCACAACCTGGTTCTCGAGTGGACTTGGGATTGTAGAGCCAAGCAAATGCGACTGGGCAATGTGCTCCCCAATTGCATTGGCCTTCTCTTCGTTGGTGATAAGCCGTTCGTCATTGACTCTAAGTGGTGGAATGGGCTTGGGGTGAGACTTCAGCACCTTGGCAACCTTCCAGAATGGTCTGGAACGGTCGTCCAGGTTCTGAACGAGCCGCCCGAAACTCTCGTTCCGGATTGAGATCATTCTGGAAGCGATCTGCCGATTCAGATCGACCATTTCGCATTTACACTGCAGATCCCCAGTCCGCTGAAACTGGCGTCTACGAACATTTCTGAGCCGAATCAAGAGTTTGGTGTGGGAATCAATTGCTTGAAACTTACCCCTCACAGGAACTCGTCGAACGCACTCTTCGTCAGCCATGGATATGGCTTGATGGAGACCCTCCAGGGCCCGGTCGATGTCCTCCACTGTGTCGAGCGGTGGGTTGTCGTCGATGTGGCGGTCGACCACGCGTCGAAACTGGACCCAGTTGACTCGATGGTAGTCCTTCCGCTGGCACGGTGCAGGGGCCACGTTGTAGCCCAGCTCGGTCAGCACCGGTTGGTGGTCCGAACTCAGGTCGTTGACGGCAACCGGCTTGGCTAATCTGGTGTTTGCCAAGAACAGGTCCAGCGTCGATGGGTTGCCCGTCGGTGATGTGAAGGTTGGTTCGTCCGGAAACCAGACGGAATAGAGACCATGCTGGGAATGGTCGAATAGCAGGCGGCCGTTCTGGTTCTGCTGGTAGTTCCGTCAGGCCTCGTGCCGGGCGTTCAGGTCCCCTCCGATTACGAAGCGGGCATTGGTGCGGGTTATGATGGCAAGGTCGTTCTTGAACTGCTGTGCTGTACCATTGCTAACGGTACATTGCCGGGGGCAGTAGACAACGATGAACCGGACGTTTCCGGTCGATGTTTCCACCTCAACGCCGACGGCCTCGATGATGGAAGTGCGGTAGTGGGGTAGGGTGCAGTACTTGATGCCTTTCTTCATGATGACCGCGACACCGCCCCCCCTGGAGCTGGTGCGATCAAGCCGGACAATGCTGTGGTCGGGCAGCCAGAAGCTGTTACCGGTCTTGAGGTGGGTCTCGGTGAGAAGGCCCACGTCGATGTCGTGCTTGCGGAGGAAGTCTGCAAGCTCAATGTTTTTCGCCCCTACGGAGCGAGCGTTCCAGTTGGCAATCTTTATGGGTTCACGGTCCATAATTAGCGACGAAGGAGATGATAGCTTGGAGCTGTTGTGTTCTTGTTGCGCAGGTGCGCTTGATGATGATGGCCTGGGCCAACAGTGTGACGATCTCATCCGTTGACAGCGGAGAATCGTCTGTAGCTTCACCGGTTGTACCGGCCAATCCCGGAGCAGGGGGATCCGTCGATGGCCCGGAGGCTTGACCGGGTACTGCAGCGGCAGCCAACTGGGCAGCAGCCAACTGTTGGTTGAGCGGGAGCGGCGGCAACACTGGAATTAGCCGTGATTGGACCGGTGATAACGGAGGAAAGTTCTGCGCGTTGTTTTCTGAACCTTCTTGCGACCGGGCTGGCTGTTGGACGAGGCTTTCTTCCGGATCTCGGCGTATTCGGCCCGCTTCGGACAGGCCTTACTCGTGGCCTTGTGGGCGGCACCGCAGTTGGCGCATGTGGGAGTGGCTTCCTCGATGCTGTCGCAGTTGTCGATCTTGTGGTTTTTGCCGCATTTGATGCAGCGGCTGGCCATGCGGCAATTCCTGGTGCCGTGCCCGAACAATAGGCAGTTCGAGCACTGAGTGACGCCACGGTGGGTCGGCTTATACCGCTCCCACTTCACTACGATGTGGAACAGTGTGCGTGTCGTCTGGAGATCCTTCACGGTTGTGGAGTTCTTCTCCAGATGGACCAGGTAGAGCTGGTCACGATACTTGATGGCCTTGCTGCGGGTCATCTTGTGGACTTCGACCGGCTTGAGGCCGTTCGCCTTAATCGCGTCCATTAAGGTGGTGGTGTCCATGTCGTGGAGCCCGCGCAGCACCACTTTCAGCGGCTTGGTGGCCTCGATGTCGTGGGAGAAGTACTCCAGCTTCATCCTGTCCAAGAGGGCCTGAACTGCGTTGAAGTGTTTTTCGGCCGGGACCATCAGTTTGTAGCCTTCCGTGCACCGTTGAATGGTGCAGCGAAGGCCCTGCTTAATGTAGAAATCCAGCTGCTCCCATAGCCCGGGAGGGAAGCCCTTCACATAGAAGGGTGGCAACTTAACTTTTTTCGGCACCGTCTCAGGGTCCGACTGCGGCTGGGCTCCGTTCTGCAGGGCCGAGAACGGATTGTTGCTCAGCAGCTTTTTTGCTGCTGATGCGGTGGCGCTGCTGTCTTCAGGTCTGGGTCGTTTAGTTCCGGGAGGCCCCGGCTGCGGGTCCGCAACGCCTGTCGGGATGGGCAATGGGGTTTTCTTCTGCTTCTTCTGGGCTGGCTCGGTGGTCGCGCCGTCTCCTGGGAGAGTCTGTTTTCCCGGTAAACCGGCACTCGCGTTACCGCGCGATTTCTTACCCATGGCTGGGTCAGCGAGAGCGTCACTACACAACGCGGAGCTAATTCGACTTGCGAACGAACGAACGAAACTAGAGAGAATTAAAATCGACTGAACTGCTCAACAGTCTGGCAGCGAATTTTTGCAGAGAATGATGATGATGACACTGGTCTTATATATTGGCTGCTGGTTGACCGCAGCCATGTGATTGGTTAATCGCATGATCCAGTCATCTTTAAGCATGTTGTGGTGCTTTTATTTTGCTCACGCGGGATTTGCTTCTGGCAAAATTATGAAAATTAACTCTTTAAGGGGGAATATTTTTGCAGGACGGTTTTGGTTTGATGCGCATGGTCGTCTGTCGAGCGGCAAGAAAATTACCCGACTGTTGGCCCTAGCCAAAAGTGCTAGTTTGATGTTCTTCCGTATGACGATGACGGGCTTGATGAAGATGGCCCATGATGATGTTTCACAAGATGAGCCCGACACCCGAACAGTGGCGGTGTGACTTCTTCACTACTTTTCTGGCTAGAGCGCTCTTGCAGGCAGCCTTATTGGTAGCAAGCTACTTGCGGTGAGCCTGTCCACCGCATGTCGTGTGTATGGCGATCGATATGAACACGATATGAAATGCGGCTTCGGCTTGTTTCGTTTGGGACCAACTATGTGATGGCTGTATTGGGAAAGACACCTTGTGGTCTAAGCATATGTTTGGGAAATTGTGATGCTGCCAATTTTAGTTAAATTTCTCATCTGTTTAACTATTTTCATTACTTGTACTATATGCCGCAAAATTTTTGAATGAAGCCTCCGTCGAATGGCATATTGCATGGCATATTTCACATCAATGCTTTGAAGAAATATGCGTTCAAAACCTGACCACTTTTCGTTACATGTTCATTTTTCGTACTCGCAAACTACCCCCAAAACAAAGACGTAGTCCTATGTCAAAACATTTAAAACTGTCCTTAATTGGCTTTATCGAAATTTAATGACATGTGAAATCCAAACGACCGTTCTAAACAATATACAAAAAAAAAACAACTATACAAATCGGATGTATTGAATTTGAGTTACCACGGACACCTACTTTGACAATGAGTTTTCAAGATAATTGCGTTTAAAGTTTTAAGCTATATTCCTTTTCTCTAGCCCACAACTGGCACACGGTACCTGCTCCCAAATGGGTCTCTTGGTAGTACTCTTCAAAGTTGCATAACTTCGTCAGTTTTTATCGAATCAATTTGAAATGTTGGGACACTTTAAAAAACATCGATTTTTTTTTAGCTTGCAGGTGAGAATGCCTACTTAAAATATTCGTTTATTTATGATGGCAAAATCAACTTTGAAGTTGAATATTCTCAATTATTCTTAGTTTTTTAATGTTGTTGTTATAATGTGCATGCTTTGAGAAAAACTGCTAAACATAATTAGTATAAGTGAGCGGCGAATAGTAATCTAATGTAACCATTCCAATTTTGAGCGATAAAATCAATGCTGCTTCATGTCACCATGTCAAGAGCGATGGTAAATCAGAAAAAAAATGCATGGGACACGTTTTTCACAAAGCACCCTTTAGCCAGCAGTCAACTGCCATCAGCAAACCTCTGCACCAGCTCGTTTCAATCAAACCCACAGGAAGCGCCATGACCGCCATGCAACGTCGATATTGCATCGTAACGTAAAGCTCATCGATCTATTATCTCTCTCCCATTTAATTTCCCGTACATTTCCAACCAGCAAATCAAGCAACTGCAGGATCTGGTACAAGCGGCCGCCCTGAACCGCGAAACGACGATGGCCGCACCGATCTCGTCCTCGTCATCACTGTCGTCGTCGTCGACCGCATCCAAGGCCTCCCTGGCAGCGACCACCACCGTAACGCACCAACTCAACTCGTTCTATTTGTACACGGAATCAGTCAAAGGATTGCCATTCAATTTGCAGATCTACGGGTAAGTGAGCGAAAAGATGTACTTTCCTGGCACTGGCTTCTCATTCCCTTCCGTGGCGGGTGGATTGGGAGCATTTGTGTGGTGAGCTGATTTTAATTAAATCCTCCGTTCGTGCTACTGGCAACGCTTTGTTACTGTTGGAATTCAACTGAATCAATGTGACCGCCAATTACATGGCACATTATCTCCATTTCACTGCACAATGGTGTCCAATTTGAAGGGTTCTATAATGAGATGGGTGGACAAAAATGGCTACATGCTTCCAATTGGGAACGCTGCTGATGGACCGTGAAATGTAACAATTAACTTCTTTTGAAAACAACTATTAATCGCCATTTCTAGTCTTTTTAGGCTAGGTTTGATCACTAGGAAACTTTGAATCACAATAAGAGTCCCATTTAACACATTTTAATGTACCTATACATTCAAAGTTACCCGGAAAATTCAAAGAAAATATGCAAAAAAATATATAAGTTTGAGATTAAAATGTGCAGAGCACCAACAATAACAATACATTTTTGTTGCAAAAATCGAACTCACACTGTACTAATGAAATATCAATGATTGCTAGTCGGTGCTTCAAAACTAATTCATTAATGTCAAATGCAATTCATATTTCTACAAATATCCACTTCAGCCAAAATAACTTCACCGAATTGAATCACCAACAATCGGATTCCAACACTAATGAGACTACCAACCCGGTAATTACAAAGCCAATAATTGAAAAATTGCAGCTCACAATCAGCTCACCTCAGCCTCTCTCTCTCTCATTCACGTCGCTTCAACTTATTTCCCATCATCGAAAACAAAGATTTATTAGCGAACTTAATTACCGCGAACATCATCGGGGTTCTATTCCATCTCTATTCCTCTATTCAGCGATCAACTGTACTCGGACCAGCTGTACATGGAGATGGATGTAACAAGGTCCCTGCTGGATATCGTGTCCAACGGAACCGTGCTCGTGACCGTAATTTCCTACAAAAACCTCACTAGTTTCCTGCCTCGGTTCTACTTCGCCAAAAACAGGTAAGTTCAACAAGGGTAGCAGTACCTAGAGCTGTTAAATTTTTTATTGATTTACTTAATGTAGGTACATACCACTTCCTGTGGTTTCCCTCATGTGTAACCGTTGGTGGAGATTTTTGCCACATGTAGTGCGTGTTTCAAATGTGTATGATACCGCTAAATATGTGAGCTACGCTGGTACTAGTTTGGTGGGGTTTTACTTTGTCCCTTAAATTATAGCTTGGTGTTGAATTCACAGATGAGAATGATAGTTTTTAAGCCTGAAGTTTACCGTCAGTGGGGGTGACATTGGGTCAAACAGACATGGTTCTTCATTCCCTGTCTGACATTCACATTTCAGTAAAAAAAAATCTATTTAAAGCATGTGAATATATTTATCAATTGTATATTTACGACTGTCATGAAATCTCATTTAACTGAAATTATATTAATACTGGCCCAATGTAACTCCAATGTTAGCTACAAATTAGCTTATACAACCAAAATTGGTTTAGGCAACTAAAATTGATTGTTGGGTTGTGTCCACATTGTGTTTAGTGCACTTGAAATTGAGAGGAATGTTTACTGTCACCATTTAATCTTTACAATTCTGCATTGCTGTAAACTGCCGTTCTACGCATATCTGTCCCATGTTCTAAAAGTAACTTCTGAGAAAATCGCGAATAATGTTTCGAATCATTTCTGCTCATTGGAAGAAATATAAGTTAAAATAAGTTAGTGCATTGTTCACATTTCAACAGAATCAATTTGTTTTAGTGAAAACTACAGAAATTACCTTCAATGAAATTAGTCAAGCCTATTTTTATACGAAAACAGTTCAGTGGGACTGTTATGCCGAGAAATTTGCTATGAAGTAGGAAATTCTACGCATATCAGTCCCACTAAGAACTAATACTTTCCGTGTTGCTTTGATGGACACGTAGCGTTTGACGTCTTTACTCTTGTGGTTGTAGTTGTGTTTACATGAGCGTGCTTGAGTTCTCGGCGAAGTTTTGAAAGTGGATAGTTTGCATAGGTTTGCATCATTAATTGAAACCAACAATAAGTGAGTTGACATTGCTGCAATCGTCGTTTGCTACATCTATAAAGCCTATAAGTATGGTCATTTTGAGAAACAAATGATGAATGCTCTGTGCAGAACACAATAAGATTGTTGATCGATGATTTCAAGAAAGACTTTGGAAAAGTTAACATACACAGTAAGGATTTCATTATATTCAACCAAATGCAACCACGGTAGTATATTTAGAAAATTCTAACGACTAAATTTACGAAAGGACTATACGACAACGGATATTCTGAATCAGCCAACAGGAACCTTATTTTCACTACAAAATATGGTAGCAGCTATCAACTAGATGAATGAACACATCAAGTGACAGAAAGTGCCATCATTGTTAACTGCGTTGCTTCGAGTTGTTTTAGAGAATAATACGTACTTTTTCAATCATGCCAATAGTTGAAGATGTTTATGCATCGTTGCTACATACAATTGAATTTTAAATCATGTTGTTTTGTCATTGGTTTATTTTAAGATCATTACACTGCTTTTCATCAATTGATTGTTATTACTTTAATAATGAACAGTTTGAAATCTGAACTATAATCTAATCTGTTTTAATATGAATTCCCGTTTCTCTTAATATTTTTCATAAAATAAAGCTTCTACTTCCCGAAACGACTCATTGAGATTCTTTGGATCATATTAATCCTGTTTCAATCACTCGTGCACTCAAATCGATTCGTTAATAAAAGATTCAGTAAAAAAAATCTTTTTGGGACAGTAATGCATAGAATTTCAACATGGGACAATTAGAGTTGATGTTGTTTTTAAATAAGCCCAAAATAAATAACATGTTTTTCTATTTTCATTCCTTTACCTAAAAAAGTACTGTTTTATGAACAAAAGTGAAAAACGTCCAAAAGTAACATGGGACAGATATGCCTAGATCAGCAGTATAGTACTCTTACAGTTGGTATTATTCAACTTAAATTTGACGTGCTTCAAGTTAATGATCATACCTTTTGCCACACAAATATTTAAGTGGTTCAGTACACCTGTAAATTAGCGACAGTCGGTTCGAATCCCGAAAATCGTTTTTTACAGTTAGAATAACAATATAAATATATACATTTTTTTTAAATAATTTCTTTTTATTTAATTCGCGAAGGAAAGCCCATTGGAGTGATGCTCCTTTCAAGCCTCTTCTCCGATAGGCCCCAAACCTTCAATCTTTTCAATCAATATTTACAGAGTATGCACTTTCCATAATTCAATGTTTCTAATTCATAAAAATTTACTAGCAGAGCTTATTGACTATCTTATAATAAACCGAGTTGCTACTTGGAGACCAGTTCAAATATGATAAAGTTGAAAACTGTGTAGGTGGTGTGAGCTCTGGAACAATTTTTTTTTTTTTTTTTTTCCTTTGGTTTGTTTTTTCCGTCGATCTTGTTTTCCATGCTGAGCACCAATGCTACCGGCGTGCCATGCCAGGAAGGCAGCTCCCACACCTGGACCCTACCTATCGACCCATCAACTCATGAACCGGGGACCAACGGCTTTACTTCCCATCCGAAGGAAGGCGTGATGCCTCAGAACATCCCGGCGGCGCCGACTGGGATTGAACCCAGGCCTGCTGGGGTGAGAGGTAATCACGCTTACCACTACTCCACCGGCGCCGTTATCTCTGGAACTATTGATTTACTTTATTAGAAGTGCAGTATCTCTGGCTTTGGCCAGACATATACCAATATTTGTTACCTGATAAAGAACTAGTATTTCTACTAGACCTTGTAGCTGCAGCCTGAGAGCTATGCGAAGCCATAGAAAAGATGGAGAGCGTAACCGGAAACCTGGATGCTGGACAAGCTGTTCCCTCATTGTGGCACCGATGAGACCGTTGGTGTTTCAAATTATTGCAGTTAATTTCAGAACCGGTGAACATGGGTCCAAAACCATGTGGAGCAGTTGCTTTGCTGGACAGTGAAGATGGAAACTCGAAAAACGTAGAAGTTCATTAGGGGTGTAGTATATCTGGCTTATGCCAGACATAAACCAGAATTCGTTATTTGAGAGAATAACTAGCATTTCTACCAGACCTTGTAGTTTGCTTTGGAGCCGAGAGGAATGGCACATGGCACGGCACATTGACTCAAAGCAATGCAGAGCCGTACGAATGCTGACGCGTGCAGCTGGAGCGATACTACTTGTCATTCTCCTCTGTGAAAGACAAGAGCTAACATTCTAATCTTCTCACCCTGTTCGTTCTAGAAAGTGCACTTATTCACTACACCCTTGAGCTGGGTTTAGACAGGGCATGTCAATTGATCAAGTCAGTTGAATTCAACTGACTTGAACGCGAATTTAACGTGTAAACCATGCCATTCAACTGACTTGATCAACTCACTGCAATTGAAAAAAGTTAAGCCATGCTCAACTTTTCAACCCAATTGAATTCAACTGAGTTCCAGTTTCTGAATCCTTTTAATTGCTTTTTTCCTAGTCGTGCAAAAACTAGACCATATTGGCCCAGCGTAAAGCATGGCCGGTTTAAAAACTTGTTTAAATATTAGAAGTTTATTCGTCAGGCAAATTTTGGAATTCCTGTTTATAAGAGGATACAAACATTTTATATATTTGTTACCTTAGACTTGAATGCCCTCAATGTGATCTTTAAAAGTTAATTTTTGGTCAAGTACTAATCCAAGATATTTCACTTGGTTTGACCAGGATATTGGAACTCCGTTCATAGTGACTATGTGACTACTACTAGGTTTCAAAAACGAAGCTCTAGGCTTATGTGGAAATATTATAAGTTGAGTTTTGGAAGCGTTGGGAAAAATCTTCCATTTTTGTAAACAAGAAGAGAAAATATCTAAAGTTTTCTGCAGTCTGCTGCAAATAACACGAAGACTTCTTCCTTTAGCGGAAATGCCTGTGTCATCAGCGAACAAAGATTTGTGGCAACCCTGAGGCAAATCAGGGAGGTCTGTAGTGAAAATGTTATACAATAAAGACCCAAAAATGCTACCCTGAGGAACTCCTGCTCTAACAGGTAGTCGTTGAGATTTGGAATTTTGATAATTTACCTGCATAGTTCTGTCAGTTAATTAAGTTTGAACTAATTTCATAATATAGAGTGGAAAATTAAACTTTTTCAATTTAGTAATCAAACCTTCATGCCAAAAACTATCGAATGCTTTTTCTATGTCTAGAAGAGCAACTGCAGTTGAGCAGCCGTCAGATTTGTTTGAACGAATTAAAATGGTAACTCTTAAGAATTGATGAGTAGTTGAATGCCCATGGCAAAATTCAAGCTGCTCATCTGCAAAAATTGAGTTCGTATTGATGTGAAGCATCATTCTATTCAAAATTATCGTTTCAAAAAGTTTACTTATTGAAGAAAGCAAACTTATTGGACGGTAGCAAGAAGCTTTAGCTGGATTTTTATCCGGCTTCAAAAGTGCAACAACTTTTGAATATTTCCATATATCAGGAAAGTATGCCAAATGGAAACATCGGTAAAATAATTTTACCAAGAAAGACAAGGTTTTCTCTGGGAGTTTTTTGATGAGGATATAGAAAATTCCATCATCACCTGGAGCTTTCATATTTTGAAACTTTTTAGTTATAGACCTTACTTCGTCCAAATCAGTCGAATTTAACCTTGCATTTTGGTACCGTGGCAATTCTTGCTTTAACTATAGTCAGAGATTCAAGATCATAATTAATTTCATCTTTGGTTTGCAAAGGATTGTTTGGATCGAAGTTATATTCCATAAATGTTCGATATTGCTCCCTATCAGCTCTATGGTAATTGAAAGTAGAGCTGTTGGAATTACAAATTATTTCTTGGGATATTTCAAAAGTTACTGGAAGGTGATCAGAACCGAAGTCAGCATGGGTAACCAATGGGCTACAAAGTTGACATGAATCAGTTAAGACCAAATCAATAGTTGAGGGATTTCTTGCTGAAGAAAAGCATGTTGGGCAATCATCGAACAGAATATTACCATTGGAATTCCATGAGCGTTGTTTTGCATTAAAATTACCAATAATGAATAATTTAGGCCTATGACGGGTAAGTTTCTGAAGGTCACCCTTGAGAAAATTCTTTTGCTGGCCTACGCATTGGAATGGCAAATAGGCAGCTATAAACGTAAGTTGTCCAAATTTGGTTTCAACAGAAACACCCAAAGTTTCAAAAACTTTGGTTTCTAATGAAGAAAGAATTTTATGTTAGATCGTCTATGAACAATGATGGCAACGCCACCACAGGCTTCATCAAGAAGATCATTTCTATAAATTAAATAATTTGCGTCCTTCTTAACCTTATGGTCAGATTTAAGGAACGTTTCAGTTATAACGGCAATATGCACGTTATGAACTCTCAAAAAGTTAAATAGCTCGTCTTCATTATCTTTAAGAGATCGAGCATTCCAATTTACAATATTTAATGCTTTAAAATCCATTACTGAATTTTAAAGTCATGACAATATTATTTGCAAATTTTACTCCAGTTTGAATAGCATCAAACATGAAGTAAATTTAAGCATATCAGAAATCATGTCAATTAATATAAAAATTCTATTTTAGGGGCAGTAATGCTTCCTAAGTCAAAATTGTCAAAATTTCCGTTAGAATTACGTTGGTTAGTATTTTGATTTCTACCCGTTGCAATAGCAGCATGGGTAGCTCCATTAACTCGCTGAACATTGTTAGCAGCGAGGGGAGTAGGTACAGATGAAAAATTTGAAGCATGGGTATCATGGGTAAAAATTTGAAGCATATTTGTACCTACGGGTACGAATGTAGAATTTGTTCCTCGCTGACCGTTGTTAACAGCAGAGGAATTTGTACCTGGTCGGAAACGTGGAGCGTTCCCTACCTGTCGCTTAGAACGAGATTGTAGGATCGCTTTGCGAGTCTTACATTCCCAAAAATTGGATTTGTGGTTTTCACCACAATTTGAACATTTAAATTTCTTAGGATCTTCCTTCACATGACAGTCGTCCTTTGCGTGAGAGGAATCACCACAATTCATGCATTTAGCTGGCATGTAGCAATTTTTAGTTCCGTGACCCCATCCCTGGCACTTACGGCACTGAGTGAGGTTTTGGAAATTTCCTCCAGTCTTCCTGAAGTGTTCCCACTTCACTCGGCATGGAGCATAAGGCTAGCTTTTTCTAAGGCCTTAAGGTTGTTTAGTTCACTAGACTTGAAGTGAACTAAATAAAAATCATTAGAAATCCCGTTGCGCGAATCGCCAGGACGGGATTTCATATTCATTTTGATTACTTGGAGTGGCACAAATCCAAGTAATTTTGCCAGTTCATCTTTGACCTGATCGAGGGATTCACCACTGGACAGTCCTTTCACGACAACCTTGAACACACGTTCAGTTTTGGTGTCGTAAGTAAAACATTTGTGCTGCTTCTCAGGAAGATACTTGTGAAGACATTTAAATCCGTCCAAGGTTTCAGCCAATACACGGCATTCACCCCGACGTCTAATTTGTAGTGAAAACTTAACTTTCACGAAGTTTAAAAGTTCCATGCGAAGAGCATGGAAATCGGAAGAGGTTATCACAATAGGGGGAATCTTTTCCTTCTTGGCATTAAGCCGGGAAAGTTAACTAGAAATTTTCTTAGATGATGTATCATTCTCATCATCCGATAGCAAATCAAATTGATTTCATCAGAAGGGGGATCAAGAGTTTGCTCCTTTCTTTTGTGTTTAGACGCCATGGCGGCAGTAAATTTTTATCCAAATCGACTTCCAAGCAGATAACTATAAGAATCTGAAGGATCGAAGAGGAATTTTCCAAATCGATATCCAAGAAGGATTACCTCGGGTAGGGTTCAAACAAGGATCGAAGAGGAATAAGAGTTGAACAAGGTAGAAATTTTACAGGTTGAGTACTGAAAAGTGCTGTTTAAATTTGTTGTAGCTTTAGGTAGTAATAACACTTCCTTAAGCAAAAAGCAGATACATCCGCACGGCAAGAGAGCACGATGTGGACTGATAAGCAACCTGTTTATTTTACGATTGATACAGCATAGGACTCTAAGGCCGCTTATCGTTCTATACAAACGAATTCCTATTATTGATATTATTCCTTACATTCGATTTCACGCGCACACTTCGCGTGCCTCTTCGCTCTCAGTATGAGCGACCTAAACAAATAATACATAAAATCCCATAAAACCAGAACGTCAAAATCGAACACATGTTGGAAAACCTGTGTAGCTGTGTTCCATTTGGTGCATTTTTACTTAAGTTTGACAGATAGAATTTTTTTAAATAAACCTGCTTTTGTACCAGACTTATTTCTGGCAGACCAGGAATCAATTTTCACAAACACCTCGAAAATCACACTATCAACTACAGAGAGTTTCCACTTGATGAATTTTCACTGACACTTCGAAAATAAATTATAATGTTCGAAAATCCGTCTGTTTCTTATTGTATGATTTTCAAGCAATTGTTTGTCAAAATTGATTTCTGGTTTGTCTGAAATAAGTCTGGTAGAATAGCATTAAAAATTTTCCATATGTAAAATATAAGTCAAAATTCACCACCGGAGCCTAAATTTAGGGGGGTTGATAGCTGTAGTATACTCCTAGTCCCACAATCGAATGGCATTTGCTAGATAAGATGAGGTTGCGACATAATTAAACAAATAAGCTCTGCAAACAACGCTCTTTGAGAACAATTTCATGCATATGTTACTGGAAACAATTCAAGGATTAAAAAGGAGGACATTTTCGGGCAAAAGGAGGATGCATCTTCTTTTTTCTTTCCTTTATTTAACGTCGGTCTCTGTTCCGCAATCTAGTTCCAATCACCGACGGACATCGATTGCCATCCATTGACGGCAACCGAATGTGCAGGAAGGCAGCTTCCACACCTGCGTAGGATATCGCACCCATTCACAACACACATGGGCCGGGACCAACGGCTTTACTTCCCTTCCGAAGGAAGACGTGACCAGAGATTTTTATGCCTCAGAAAAATCCCACCGACCTCGGCTGGGATTGAACCCAGACCCATTGGGGTGTTAGAGAGCAGTCACGCTTACCACTACGCCACCGGCGCCGGCTAAAAAGGAGGATGCAGAAAAATTATTTAAAAAGAAGGAAATGTCCTCCTTTATGATACCATATGGTAACCCTACGCACGACGCGAAACACTTATTTGTAGTGACTTACTTGACTTAAAATGATCTTTATTTCTTGTATTTATGTGGCTTACATGTATGACTTATCAAGTGACACAGATGCGTCTTTTCAACTTAAGTTCTTATGAAATTTCAATTATTATTAATTACAGCTCTTAGTCCTATCAGGTCTGTTTAGAGAATGATCAACTTTGTGGGATTGGTTGGTGTCTCATATGTAGTAGGTTCATTTTATGCTTAATATCCTTGTAGCAAAATAATGCTTCAACAGCGCTCAAACCTATGCTCTGGAGAGTGGGCTTTGCAGTGAAGTCTCTCGAGAGGTAAACCCTCGAGAGCTTTTAGGTGAGTGAACTCGAGAGCACATTAAATTCATTTATCTAGAGAGAGTGATTTTAGTTTTCACCGTAAAAGTGGTGATTTGCTCGCATGAGTTGCAATGCATAAATCCTCAGAGGAGGCAAAATATACGTACGCTAGAGCCGCAATTGGGTGAAATGACATCACTGGCAGGAGCCAAAGAACATGGATCCAAAACCATGTGGAGCGATGCGAATATAACCGGTACTCGAAAAACGTAAAAGCGTGCTGCGGAATGCTACAAAAATTTCGTTTGATTTCGCGGAACTCCGCCACCAAAGCTACATTTCACTTTCGTGTTGCATTTTTTTTTTTCAAAAATTTGAGAAAAAATCGGTTTTGTTTCGTATCGCATCGACCTTAAAAAATCTCATATCGCATATCCTTAATATGCAGAAGCCATGCAAGAATGTTAATGAAGAACATGTGTCACATAAAATGAATCATAAGTGAAACACATGAATAACATAATAAAAATTCTTTGGGCATAGCAAACGCATTCCTCAAAGTAACCTGACCCGTTTTTACATCGCTCAATTGCTCAATCAGCGCCCTACCAAAACATGCAAATCCACTCTCGCTTTACCATTTCATGTATGAACTTACCAGAGTGCTCAACCCGCATGCAAACAGAACACATCGCCAAAACAACTATCTTTCGGGCGAAAAATAGCAATATCCTACATGTCCGCTTACAACCGGAAAATATTTTACTCGTCTACCGTCGAAAAAAAAATGATCAACTGCAAAAGCTGAAAAACGCTCGATACATCAGGGAAGAAGTAACTGCCTTTGCTAGCCCACACAGCTTTTCCCTCAGTTGGATAACTACTTCATTGAATTTTTTGTCCTTTCTTTCTGTCTCTCTCTTTCTCTTTCCCGGTACATTCCAATTTCCCGGCTGCCGCTTGGGCAAACAACTGGACCTCATCCCGCACACAACGAACGAAACCGCTTAGCTTTGGCACCGATATTGATTACATCCCGGCGTCGAAAATCATCTCCACCTGGCTGTACTATGCCAACCGCACCGGATACGAACCGAACCGGCCGCTCCACGTGCCACTCGAGTCGGCCCACGTGGAAATTATCTTCCAGCACGAAAACTCGCCGACCAGCGAGTGGGTACCGCTTTGCGGGTAAGTTTTTGGAATGGAACTTTTTCAGCTTTTGTTTTTATTTTCTCGTTGTTTGGTTTCTGATTGTCCCCACGGGGTGGACCAGCGAAATCCAACCGCAGCTGATCCAGGAGTAGTGGTCACACAATGTGCGGCTTTTGGACGGCACGGGAGATATTTCCATTCTGCCATTTGAAGTTTGCGATCCAATATCAGTGAGTGTTTTATGTAACCAAGTTTTGTTGGGTTAATCGATTGGACAACGAGACAGAGAGCAGATTAGGGGAGAGTGACGATGCACTGTAAAAAAATGAAATTGATATAGTTTTTGCACAGGCTAGCGGAAAATATTTTTTGAAAGCTTAAAAATACTCAAAAGTTGGAGCCTTATGTATGAAATCCTAAAAAAACACGTTTTTTTTTCTGAGCGATGTCTAAAAACGCATTTTGAAAAATTAAAGGAGACTTGATCCCCCTTTGATGACATAAAGTTTTTGTAGGAAAGAGGAGACTCAAAGACTTTTCAAATGATTTTTTTCTATTTTTTTTTAAAGCACTGTTAGGCCAGAACAAATCACAAGTTTTTCTTTTGTCACTCGATGCTCGCACTAGTCGAGGGAGGGGAGAAAAAAAATCAAAAAGAAAATAAAACATTTAAAATTCGTTTTACATTATATCTAAACCGTATATTTCAAACGCTAAAATTTTTTCTTAGCCTCCGCTTTAGCCTTATACTTCTTTGAAGTCGTGATTTTTGACACAAATGCCACAAATCTTGACTTTATTATGTGTAACACTCGAGTTATCAACAAGACATTTCGCGCATAAGTTTTTGTATCATTTCAAGGAAAAACATTGGTAATAATGTAGATGAATAGGATCAAAGCAATTGATTTTTGGGTATTGATAAATTCCGGATAAAACCATCAAGCGGAATACCACAAACGTTACAGTTCTTATAAAAAAAAACGTTCTGTTTTCAATACTTCCTCCCTATCCAAATTTAACTCAGTTTTCTCAACAATTTTTCGTGCTTCAAAAAATCTAACTAGACGTATGGATTCAGGAAGGTCTATTCAACAAAATCCAAGCGTAATATTCAAAGAAAGGTTGTGCTTAAAAAAATAATCATCACATATGAATTCAGTTAGGTCAATTCTATAAAATCTAAGCATAACTTTCAAAGGACAGTATCAAAATTCAACTTAGCAGAAAAGAAAAAACAAAAAAAAACCTTTTCGAATTACAAACCCGTTCAGCAAGATCCATTCTAAAAAATACAAGCCTATTTTTCAAAGATATGAGCCAAAATGCAATTTGGCAGAACCAAAAAACCAAATTTCTATGAAAATACGGATGGATTCAGTAATTCAGTATAATCCACTCCTATTTTTCAAAGAAAGGAGCCGAAATTCAACTTGGCTGAACAAGAAACCCAAATTTCTATAAAAATACGTACTTTTGAGAATTCAAACCCAGTTTTTTTTAAAAATTGTGCATGCTTCAAAAAATTTACCATCACGTATGGATTCACCAAAGTCCATTCTATAAAATTCAAGTCTAATTTCAAAGATCGGAGCCAAAATTCAACTTGGCAGAACAGAAAATCAAAATATGCAAATACGTACTTTTGTGAATTTAAACTCGGTGTTCTAAAAAATTGAAGAAATTCAAACCTCACATATGGATTCAGCAACTTCTATCAACATACAAGCCTATTTTTCAAAGATAGAAGCCAAAATTCAGTCCGGAAACAAAGAAAAATTAATTTTCTATGAAAATACCTTCTTTTGTGAATATTAACCAGGTTCGTCCTTCCGGTATTCAACAAGCTCCATTCTATAAAATCCAAGCACAAATTTCAAAAGATTGAACCGAAATCCAACCTAGCTTCAAAAAATCTACCATCACGTATGAACTCACAAAGGTCTATTCCATAACATCCAAGACTGTTTTTCAAAGAACGGAGACAAAATCCAACCTGGCTGATCAAGAAACCCAAATTTCTATAAAAATACGTACTTTTGTGGATGTAAACCCAGTTTTCTCAACAATTGTGCTTGCTTAAAAAAAATCTACCATCAGGTATGAACACACGAAGGTCCATTCTTTAAAATCTCAGCCTAATTTTCAGAGGATGTGAATCTCACAAGAACGAGGAAAGAATCTAAGGGAGCGGAATCTACGTTAAAAGTTAGGTAAATCACTTCAGGAAAGCTCAGACTAATATTCAATATAATTCAATCACTCAACACTTTTACTCCCTAAGGAAGGTTTTGAACCACTTCAGAAAAAGTTGGACACCATTTGGAATATTTAAGCTAAATAAATTGTCGGTTCACTTCGGAAAACTTTCTACACTTTCACTAAGCAAGATTGTGTCCTTGCCAAATTCCAAAGCAGTTAACAAAAATCTGGAGCTCACTTAGGAAAATATCAAACCGGTTCTGACTAGTTTGGTTTCAGTTCGGAAAAAGTTGAATCAATGCAGAAAACCGTGGATTCATTTAGGGAAAGGATTAATCAGCTAATGTTGCCTTACTTCAGAAAATGCGAAACCAATTCTTTAAAGATTGGTTTGGAATATGTTGAATCACTTCAGGAAAGTTTTGACAACTTTAAAAAGGATTTAATAACATAACAGAAAAGTTTAGACTCAGTTAGAAAAATATTGGTGACTTATTCGAAAGTTTGAACTCACTTCAATAAAGTTCAGACTCAGCTTTGAATCTGCTTTGAAAAGTGTCACCTCAGTTAGGAATTTCCGGAATCGTTTCTGATTTGGTCTCACTTCTAAAAATGTTAAACCAATTTTGAAAAGATTGGATTTACCTCGGAAATTGTTGAATCACTGTAGAAAAGAAGTGGATCATTAAGTATCATTACATAAGGTTTGTAAGTTAAGAAATTTAGATCGAATGCAAAAATCTGGTGACTGCGGTGGGCTGGTCACATCGTAATAATGTCGGATAACGACCCACTGAAAATGGTTCTTTGTAGTGATCCAACTGGGACAATACGAAGATGTGCGCAACGGGGAGGGAGGGGGTTTACAAAAAAAAACTTGATATTTGTTCTGGCCTAGCGAGATTTTTAGCTCGTTGGGTAGTTCATCTCGTTTTTCTAAATCTCTGACATGATATTCCTAAAAGTATGTTTTTCTGAAATATGCTAGGAAACTCAATTCTAAGAATAAGGGGACATTTGGTACCGTTTTCATGATATGCAATTGAATATTAATTTCTACACACATCCTGTGATCAAATAAGATCTGTCATGGTGGTTGCACATGGTTACTCCATGAGACCACAACTCTCAAATTTGTTTTTTTTTACGGAGGACTTCGTCTTCCTGGAATATAACGGGGTGCAAATCAAAAAAATGTGTAACGAAATAGTGTTAGGTTTTAAACGCTTAAAACTTGGCCATTTAATGATAGATTAAAATTCTTTTTACATCCTTTGATTCAGAATTGATTTAAGATTTGTTTGGTTTAAAGATTAAAGTAATTTATCATTAGTAAACTATTGAAAATTGATCAATTTTTTTGGCTGCAATTAACCAATCACGTGCTCGTTTGCTATGACTATTAGACTGATGCAAAATTTGAAATTTTCGCTCCACAGTGCTTAAACGGTTTCAAATCAGGTCCTGATTAGCCTCCCAAAATTTAAACTCATTTGGTAAGAAACTGACTTGGCACAAACTATTCGAAGTTTATATGGAAGTTACTTTGAGAAAGCCAAACTTTTTGTTCATTGTCTTCTACCCATTTTCCATATTGCTTTTTCAAAAATTTCTATAACTATTCTTACGGAAAATTTTCTAAGCTACAACTTTGCTGAATTGCGTTTTTCAGCCAAATGTCAAATTAAATAGTTATTAATTGTTTCAGAGATTTATAATCTTATGGCAAGATTAAGCAACTGTATTGTGGGCAACACTGTATTCTGCAGTGTGACATAGTAGCCATGATATTTGTGCTCTATTCTTCGCACTAGAAACACCAATGTTGCCTGCTGAACAGTTGAATGAGCATAATCATAAGACATCGGTGACTTGAATCATTGATAACTTTTGATCCTTACATTTGATTGAAAAGTAGTTTTGAACAAAGTTTTAGCTGAGAAAATTTGCTACAATTACTCTTATAATTTTTAAAAGCATAGTGATGTTGGTAGATATTGGTGAATTGTTAGATAGATATGAACAAAAACATAAGTTTTTCCATAGTAATTCCCATATAAAATTGAAATGGTTTGAACCAAGTCAGTTTCTTACTAAAGTAGTTCAAATTCTGGGAGGCTAAGCAGGACCCAATTTGGAACCGATTAAGCACTGTGGAGCGAAAATTTCAAATTTTGCATCAGTCTAATGACTATCAAGAGAACAGAGAGAGATACGACCGGTTGCGAGGTTATAAAAAGCCTACCTGAACGTTTTGCTTCAGACCGTCTGGGTATGTGACGGTTGTCTCATCGTTAAACGCCGTACTCAGTCGATGAGACTAACTCAAAGTTGTGTAGGATTTCTCTCAAAAAAGTAGAAAGTGAGTAAAATTTTCCTAAAAAATCTGCGCGAAACAAAAAAACAAAACAATGGTTACTTTGTGACTTTCCTTCGATTTTTTAGGAAAAACTTCTTGAATGCCGTAGAAACAACCGGTGGTAACTAACGATTTAAAATTTTCTCACTACTTGACTAGCCTATTGGTCCCAAGTACATCTATTAGCGTAACCCATTCTAGTCGAAAGTTTAACACTACACTATGTTTGTTTTGATTCACTATGAAAGTTTGACAGATATAATGAGGGGTTCGTGGATTTACCGATGTTTCGAGGGGTGCATCGATTAGCTTAGGACTGAAGATAGTACCAGAGCGGAGCCGAAAATTTGAGCACATTTCTTCGGGACCTTCTGGTCTTAGAGTTACGGATATGGTAGAACCCCGTTCAATAGCTAAAATTGCGCGCACTTTGAATTTGGTTAACAGATATCCCTAGCGTTGCCAGATTGTTTTC